CCTAGGTGTCGCTTCTGCTCGCGTAACCACAACTCAGCCGGGTGTGCCCAGAAAATCAAAGACCACCTTAATAGGGGTGGTGTGGGCTATGTAATTGAGCCCAGGTGCTGTAACTGTGGCGGCCGGCACAATGCTGACTCACGGCAGTGCCCCAGTCACCCTTCTGTCCCAGGGGAGAGGCCTCCCCAAGGGCCGCGTCTACCACAACGCCCCCCAGTCTACTACTGGGACACCTGCCCTGCCTGGCTTCACCAGGCTGCACCACAACAGCACCTACCATTCCCTAACTCAACCACTACTGAGCCTCCTCCCCGTCTCTACCCTGACGCTGTCAAGCCTTGTGCCGCCACCAGTGCCCCCCCACAACCCTCTCCAGTGACATGACACAGATCATGTCCCTCTTCCAAGAATTTACCAGTCATGTTGAGAAACTCTTGGTTACACTCTGTACCGCCATCTCCGACCTACACCGCCAACTCCTGCCCTTTGCTGCCACCCAGTCACTCCCCTCTTTTGGTTTGACACAAGCTGGTAGTCCCCCTGTGAGCCCCCCCTGCTCACAGGTTGTGTGTACTGGGGCCCCCGAGCCAAGCCCTGCCTCATCTTTACGTCACGTGGTGCCTCAACCTGTCTACCCACCTCAAGCCTCGCCTGCTCCTGTGTCTGTGCTGTCTCCACCAGGGCTACCTATTGGACCTGAGGACTCCACCCCCGGCTACCCATACTCCACCGACATGCCGGCACCTAAGGCCCATCCGTCCACGTCAGGGGTAATCAGTCTAATACACCACAATGGATAGCAACGCTACAGGACTGCAGGTACTCACCTGGAACATAAACGGCTTGCAAAGCAAGTTTGGTGCCCTCAAAACCTACATCTACACTGAAGACGTCGACGTGCTGTGCCTCCAAGAAACGCGGTGTGCTGCTGGTACCTATGTGCTCAGTGGCTACACATGTGTTGAGAGCCCATCCACCCCTGTTCTCCGCATCGATGGACTACCACGAAGCCATGCACGTGGACTGCGGATCTACGTCAAGAAGGATGTCCCCTACCAACCTCTCGACGTCCCCCTTGATGACGACACCACCGACGCACATGCCATCACAATCACACTAAAAGGTATGTCCCTCAATATTGTCAATGTCTATGTGCCTCCCTCCACCCCTACTGTACCTGTCCTACCACACCATATCACCTCCACCCCCACCCTCCTTGTGGGGGACCTCAATGCCCGACACCCCAGTCTCGGCTCCCAGGGGCCCCACTCAAACTCCCGGGGTAACTCCTGGCTCTCCTACCTACAAACCACTGATGACCCTGTACGTCTTCTCTGCCCTCCATCACCCACCCACATCGGGGGAGGGAAACTTGACTACATCGCTCTCTACTCTGACCCTCACCGCCCACACTCCACCCGCATCCTCCACTCCCCCCACAGTGACCATTTCCCTATCCACACTACCCTCCAGTATGTGAGAATACCCGCTCCACCCAAGGGCCCTAGGCTCAGCCTACCCCCTGCCAACATACCTGCCTTCATCACTACCATTGCTGAATGGTTTCAGGGTTACACTGTCACCACCGCAGACCAACTCTACCTTGATCTGTCCAAACAATGCACTGACCTCCTCCGCCCTGTCCCAAAACACCGCCGCCCTAACCGCCAGCCCAGGAGTCAGTGGAACGTTAACCGTGACCCTCATGTTAAGTCTATCCGAGTATGGCACCGAATAGCAGTCGACCAGTGGAAGAAATCTCCCAGCTCCCCTGACTCTCTACGCTTCCTGATGCGCACAAATAAAGAGCTCCAATCTGCCATCACTCTCGCACGAGAGAAGCAGTGGTTTGATTTTGCTTCTTCTATTGACCAGTCTACATCTATAGGTGATATATGGCGCACCATTAACCGTGCCCGGGGCACCAACGCTAGACCCGCGCTCCACCCCAGACCAGCTGCCCGAGCTGAGGCGCTCTCCCAGACGTGGCAGGAGGCCGCCTCCATTGATGCGCTACCACCCGCTGTACGAGACCTCACCCTCGCACTGCAACCACAACGCCGACAGCGCATCTTCGAGTACCAAGACCTATTTGCAGACACTGACGTGCCTTTCACACAGTGTGAACTACTAAATGCTGTTAAGCGTGGTCGGTCCACCGCCCCAGGCGATGACGGCGTCACATATGATGTGTTAAATGCCCTTATTGCCACCCCTGGTAACCCCCTCCTCTGTCTATTTAACCTCTCTTTTGATACTGGTCAGCTGCCTCACTTATGGAAGACTGCCACCACCATCCCAGTCCCTAAACCAGGCAGACAAGATGAATATCGTCCAATATCCCTCATCTCCTGCTTCTCAAAGATGATGGAGCGCATGATACGCCACCGCCTCCACTGGAAAATTGAAGCCCACCTGCACCCTGACCTCTATGGTTTCCGCCCCGGAAAGAGTACTGCTCACTGCATCGCTCACTACATGGCAAACACCTCCGCCAAAACCTCCCTCTTCGTCGACTTCAAGGGTGCTTTTGATAAAGCCAACAGTGAAGTGATCCTTGAGGGCCTCACTCACATGGATGTGAAGGGCAAACTCCTCACGTGGATTGCTGACTACCTCTCCCATCGACAGGCCCGTGTCCGTTTTCAGGGCCACTACTCTAAGATCAGGGACCTTGATCTTGGCACGCCTCAGGGAGGTGTACTCAGCCCTACACTCTTCAATGTTCTCATGAACTCCATCTGCCGCCTCAACGACATCTTTGCTGAGAGCGCCCTAGACGGTCACATCATAAGCTACGCTGATGATATTCTCCTCCAAATTACTACAGTGCAACATGAACAACCTATACTCTCCACGTTCGCCCGGACCTGTCAAACACTCGGGCTAGTCATCTCACACACTAAAACCAAGTTCATCTCACGCTTCCGGCGTCAGACACCACTGACTCTGCAAGGACAAGACATCGATCAAGTACGCACCTACAGGTACCTTGGTCTACCTGTGCGAGCCACTACCAGAGCCACCACCTCCGCTGTCGCCGCCCACGTCATCTCCCAGTGCCGCCAACGAACGAGGCCCCTCCAGTCCCTCACTCACGGCCTCAAAGGAGCCTCTGTCAGGGTCCTACGTCTCATGTACATTGCCATCGTCAGAGCTGTCATAGATTATGCCTCTCCTGTCCTTGTAGTTGCCTCCCAGCGCGAGAAACAAAGCATAGAGAAAATCCAAAACAGAGCGATGAGACTCATCCTCGGCTGCCCTATGACCACCAGAATAGAAGTCATGCAGCGTGAACTGATCCTGCTTCCCGTCTGCGATCGAATTACTGCTCTCAATGCCATCCTTGGTGTTAAACTTCTTCGCAGTGAGCAACCGACTCCCCTGTCGCGCTCACTGAACTCACATCTTAACACCCTCCTGCGCCGGCCTGTCCCCATTACTTTCCCCCTCCCTCTCAACACTGGCCCGTCCACACTGCTGCTGACATCCTGCGTTATCACCTCTACACCCCCTCGACCTCTCTCCCTCCCGAGTACACTCATCCGCCTCTACCGCCGTGGACCTCCCCGTGTGTTGATGTTGTCGTCCACACCTTCCCTGGTCGTAAATCCACCCAACTGCGGTATATGCTCAAACTTAACTGCCTTGAGCAGATTAATGATGTCGCCTCCTCTCTTAAGACCTCCCACCCTCCTATCCTCGTCTACTGTGATGGGTCTGTTACCACGCTGGGCAGCGCTGGGGCAGCTGTGTGGATTCCTGAGCGCCAGGCCTGCAGGAAAATCAGGGTCCACGACTGGGCCTCCTCCACTGATGCTGAAAGCATAGCCATCCTCGCGGGCATTCATGAGGGGGCGACCTATGCTCGCACTGAACGCCGGAACCTCCTCATAATCAGTGACAGCACTTCTGCGCTAGCGAGGCTCAAATTACCCTCCCCCTCCTCCCCTGCCGCCCAACACACCCTAGCCGCCGTTGCCGGGCTAGAACAAACTGATGACATCCGTGTCAAGTTTATTTGGATCCCGTCACATATAGGAATAACTGCCTGTGACACTGTTGATCGGCTTGCCAAAGAAGCTACACAAGAAGAAGATATTGAAGCCACTCTCGCCCTCTCCCTGAATCATCTCAAATCTCGCATACACGCCACACAACGAGAAGCATTCGACGAAAATTGGACACACCTGAAACAACGGGGTAGCGTCACACTATGCCACTATGACGCTGTAACCGGTGACTCCAACCGCCACTACAAAGAGTATCAATCCCTGACTCGATCTCAACAGATTATATACATGAGACTGCGCCTAGGGTACAGGTACCTATGGGAGTACATTGGCAACCCTGAGCCTGGCCGCACTGTTTGTAAACTTTGTGGCCAACCCGACTCTCACACCCTCTCTCACTACATCCTCACTTGCCCTATGACCTCCTCCTACAGGTCCCCAGCTGTTACCAACACCTCTTCCCTCCCTGACCAGATATCCCTCCTCCTAGTGACAGGCCTGGCACTTGACATTATTAGGGACCTGCCACGCTTTGCCATAAACAGATGAAATGTACCGGGAACTTTCCCCCCACGCACTCATCATTCTCTCACTTTATGTAACTTGACAAAACCTATGACCCTTCAGGCTGTTACGCCCTTAATGCACGAGTCATAAAGGCAAGCATGAACTTAGCATGCTTCCCTATTGGGCACTGTGAACGCTTCTGCGCTTCACCTTGCACAGGATGTAAGGGGGTCCCCAATGAACTAGCTCCCTCGGGGGCAAATCTGACCAAGTTTCAGCCAGATTAGATCAAGAATAATGGAGAAGGTGGGAGTGGAGGATACATGGATTCTGAATTCGTCTCTGTAATGTGTATATATTTTTAGACTTGAGGCGTTTTCATGATGCACGTAGCAGTATAAACAAGTACACAAAATCTCTATTATCTCCTGGTTTTAAAATGAAGTAAACAAAAAATCTTGATAATGACATCTTAAATTGGTTGGGAACATAGCAGCTGGCGCAGTCATTGTGTTATATTATCGGTAGAACGCTGTTAGTCTCACACTCCTCTGCTTCTGTTGGTTGCGGTAAGTATTCTGCTGTTGTAAACTATTTCAATACCCCAAGAGGCCACACACTCGTCGCGGATTGTATGAGTCTTCCCCCCCACCTCCTCACAACACAAGTTCTACGTAATTACTTCAACCTTAGTCTTGTTTAGTGCTGCAGGACCTAATTTTACTAAGGATGGTAGTTATTTAAGCTAGAAAGTAGTTCAAATGTTCTTTATTTTCGCTTATTTCTTATATATTTTGCCTTCCCTACTGTCCTGGCAAAACTTATGATCCAATTTATCCCAAATTTAGTCTTGTATCGTTAATGAATCACTTATGTTTACAGTGTCAGGAGAGTGAGGAAGGTTCACCATGTGTCAACGTTGGTTACTACTTGGTCTTGTGGCGGCGTGTTGCTTCACCCTGGCTGTGGCCGCCCCTAACATCGTCTTTATCTTCGCTGATGACCTAGGTAGTATTAATAGCAGTAATATACAGTATGTGTTTATATTTTCTGCTCGTTATATTCACGTATATCCTAACTTGACGTACTACATTCCTGATGAAGACGCTGCAGTAACATTTTAAGACATCGCTATTATCTGAATCGAGACCAGAAATAAGAAATATATTAATAGTATATATGTTTTAAAAATTAATACTTAATGCAATTGGAATCATCAACAAGATATCAGTAACAATGTGTAAAATGTGTACAGGGTGGCATGATGTGTCGTGGCACAACGAGTATGTGATAACACCCAACATGCAGGAACTGGTGGACACTGGTGTTATGTTGGAGCAGAGTTACGTCCAGCCCCTCTGTACTCCCTCACGCTCTGCCTTGATGACTGGACTCTACCCCTTCCGTATTGGCAGACAGGTGAGCAGGAAGCCAATGCATACATAGGTCTGGCAAGTTACTCACCTCAGCATCTTTCAGGTCACTGGGGTAGCTGGCAGTATAGCATATCGATGTTCAAATACATGTACAGCACATGTAGGACTATTGTACAGACATCGGACCACTGTTAATCTCACTGTATTTCATTATAAATTGTCTGCCTGGGTTTACATCCTTTAACTACATGAATGTTATCTATATACTGATAAAATTTTCGTTTCAGGGGAGGCCATTGATGAACGGTGACCCGACAGGCCTCACCCTGGAACGAACACTCTTCCCAGAGAAGTTGCAAGACCTAGGCTACGTAACCCATGCGCTTGGCAAGTAAGTTTTTGTTAATTCTTCTTCTTGTTTCGATTGGGAGCTCAATGTTGACAACTTATGGTATCTAAGAATAAGTGCCCCAGATCATCGCTACACCTTCAAGTGACACAGCCGCTACAGAAACTGATGAAACATTCTTTGGTTGAGAAATATTGCATGTTTGTCTTAGCATATAGGTTAAAGACTTAAATCATAGGTACTTGTCGGTAGGAATTCAGTGTAGAAAGTTTATTTTTTTTCCATGTATTCAAACATATAATGATACTAAAGAAGAGCCAATTATTTACGCAAGCTCCTGGTGTACTGTACTTGAGTCGGTCCTTAAAATTATAAACTTTACCATCCATAAGTGATGAGAGAAAATAGACCCGGAAAGTCATGATACTTCTGTCACACCATCATCATTCCTGGTTGCAGCGGGAAAAATTAATTGACCTTACCACCCACCCTCAAGATGGCGATAAACTGGAAAAAAATGTCCTGAAATAATTTCGTTTTTTATGATAACTGTCCATGTAAACAAACCATGTGTACAGGGTGGCATGATGTGTCGTGGCACAACGAGAATGTGCCACTACTACAAAGTGTGGTTTAGTTATCTTTTGTGTCCAACAGGTGGCATTTGGGCTTCTGTGACTGGGCCTACACCCCTACCGAGCGTGGCTTTAACACCTTCCTAGGGTTCCTGGGTGGTGCAGAGACCTACTTCACTCACATGCATCAAGGTGTGTTCAGTATCTTTATCTACATCCTCATTCTACTTTCAAAATACATCCAACTACAGGTTGACAAGCCTTTATCCGAAATTCCGGAAACCGAAAAGCTCTAAAAACCGAAAGTTTTTTGTGGGACAATTTTTTTTTCTTTTTTTTTTTTAACAGGGATTATTAGCCCAGCCAGGCACAGATCACTGACCCACATCGGGGCCTCGGGGGCAAAAATGTAATAGTAATAATAATTATAATAATAATTATTCATAGTAAATGAAATTTTTAATAATTTTACACCAAAATAAAATAATAATGATTACAATAATAATAATAATAATAATAATAATAATAATAATAATAATAATAATAATAATAATAATAATAATAAAATATAATAATAATAATAATAATAATAATAAAATATAATAATAAAATTAATAATAATAATAATAATAACAATAATACTGTAATAATAAAATAATAATACAGTAAAGAAATACAAGAATGAAAAAAAGATCAAAAGTGAGAAACACGACCTAGACCTATGAATTATTATTATTATTATTATTATTATTATAATTTTTATTATATTTTAGACCCCCAGGCCCCAATGTGGGTCAGTGATCTATGCCTGGGTGGGCTAATACACAAAAAAAAAAAAAAAAACCTAACCATTCTGAAAACCGAAATGCCTCTGGCCCCAAGGATTTCGGATAAAGGATTGTCAACCTGTATCACCATATCTACGTCGACTTTCTTTAATTGAATAATATCAGATATGTTCTTTACAGCATTCGATTCTTCTTCTGATCCCCCAACCGAGGGTATTTGTTTTTTATGGCGACTCTTTCTCATTACAAGTGAAGTCTGTCAGTTGTGTTTCAAAATTCTAACTTTCTAAAAGCTTTATTCAACTTTTGGACCACGTACTAGGCGTTAACTATCAGATGGTAATTATTTTTATCTCTCTAATCTTCACAATATTGTTCTCATAGTCCCTTTGTTGGTTGAGAGTAACAGCACATCAGCCACAGACCCACACTCCTTAACACACGGTTCAGCTCTACAGCAGACAACACACTGAGAGGGAACCACTTACTTATCACATATTATCCGTGATTTGACCATACATGTAATTACGTGGTTGTGTTTTCCTTTGTTGCTTGTGTGTAAATTGACTTATAATGTTTACGTACTAACTTAACTATTGAGACACAGATATACATATAAACAACTACGACAACCATACCTTACTCACCCATCCTAATACAAGTAGTTAATCATAATCACTATCAAAGACTTCGAAACAAAATCCTTGGTCTTAGTTTTGTGAGCAGATTCTTTATCAATAAACATCGACTGAAAGTCTTAACACCTCCAGTACACCAATAAGAGCGCCACATTCTCCACCAAGAGATAAGTCAAGACACATCCAAACTAGTATATCCCAGTGGTGTTGACGGTGCCTGGAAACCAACCAGCATTAGTACTCACCCCCCCACCCCACCCCCACCCCGTCTTTTGTGTCATCCATCTTGATATGAAATAAACCTGAGAATACAATATGAAAAATTCTGTATTCAACAGTAAGTATTTTGTTATTTAGAAAGACTTTGACAATGAAAATCAGAGAGATCTGTGTTTTTATTTTTTCAACTTGACATATTCGTTGTACGCGCTTCTTTTAGTATGTTCTAGTGAGGTGTTAAGGGGAGGTGTCTCAGCTAACTGGTCATTGTGTGTCTTCGTGTACAGAGGGATACGACTTCAGGGACCAGAAGGAAGTGGCGTTTGAGGCCAATGGCACCTATTCTGCCGTGAGTACTATTCTTATATCTCTCCAGTGTTCTGCTATGGGTATGTCACTAGTCCCTTAAATCTCTCACCCATATCCTTCACGTATATTATCAATAGCCACTACCCATGGCCTTCGCAGGTACCCTCACTATTATACACCACCCATACCCTTATTTTTTTTTTTTTTTTTCCCGGGGATTAGCCCACCCGGGCACGGGTCACTGACCCACATCAGGGCCTGGGGGGCGAAAATGTAATTATGATTTTAATAATAATAATAATAATAATAATAATAATAATAATAATAATAATAATAATAATAAAGAAATACAAAAATGAAAAAAAAGATCAAAGGTGAGAAACAATATATGTATGTTGTGTTGTCAATAGTAAGAGAAACAATTGAGACCCTGCAATTGTGTGTAAATGAGGCAGAAAGTCAGATCAGAACCCGGGACTTGGTCACAATTTGTGTGATGCCATATGGCAGCAGGGTCTACCATTAGACAATACATTAAGCTTCCAATATCTTCCCAGGCGGTAGTACCTCCCTGTTTGGTAGCTGCCTAAGACCTACTTGTGCTAGTCCCAGTGCCAAACACCTACTGTATTTCCATCACCAATACCATATCCTTTGTACACTATCCATGTCCTTCACCAACTAGTTCCTCCTGTGTCCATCACCCATGTCCCTAACTCCTTCACCAGTAAATGTACTCACCCATATCCTACAACCTGTACCATTGTCCATCATCAGTGTCAATATCCACCTTCTTTACCTCTCGTAAATTCTGCTCACCAGTTCCTTCCTCCAGTACCTGATTGGTGACCGAGCTGTGGAGATCATTGAGAATCACGAGGACCCCAACAAGCCGTTCTTCATCTACCTGGCCATGCAGAACGTACACAGCCCCTTTGAGGTGAGTGGAGAGGCGTATGTTCCCGTTTTATAGTTTTCCGCATCTAACACATAAGTCACTTAACGTGGGGAAATATTGTTCTTCTCTTTCGTTTTTGTTTTTCAGGTGAAACATAAAATCGACTTGTGTTTTGAAGTAGATGGTGAAATTTTTTAGAAAAAAAAATTACTGTAGTAGTGCATTTTCACAATGGTGCTCAACTTATATGACCGTTCGCTCGGCTGGGAATCTTTTACAGTGGTACGACAGTGCTAGAGGAGATAAGGTTGTGTTCTGACCTCACTCAGTTGTGTTCTGACCTCACTAGGGGAAAGGTCACGGCAGGGTTAGCTCCCAAGGGATAATTATCAGATATGGCCAGCGCTATGTGCGGTCTTGGTTGTGCGAGTTTGTTGACCAAACTGGAGTGGTCCATGGAAGAATTGGCGAGGGCCAAGGAAGAAATTGAGAGGGCCACGTTGGAGAACCTGAAATTAAAGGAAGAGCTGGCGAGGTTAAAAGGGGAAGCTGGACAGGGAAAGCCAGAGTCTGACGAAAACTCAAGCGAGTGGAAGATTGTGAGGAGTGGGAGGACCAAGCCGGTGGTGAAGAAGTACACCAAGGATACGACGACAACGACAACAACAGCTAAGTGTACCAACTCGTTCAGTCCCTTGATAGACGAATTGGACGTTAGTACAGTCAGGGACAGGGATGACAAGGAAGGTATAAAAACTTTAATTGTTGGTGACTCACAGGTAAGGTACATGGACAGGGCCTTTTGTGGTAAAAACAAAAATAGGATGAGGGTGTGTTTGCCAGGAGCTGGGGTGGGGGATATAGTTGACAGGATGGACAATATCTTGTCTGGTAATGGGAACAAACCCATTATCTGCCTCAGTGCAGGAGGCAATGATATTGGCCGGTGTAGGAGCGAGGAACTTCTTGATAAGTTCAAGGCAGCCATAGATCGTATTAGGTCTAAGGGAGGGATCCCTATCATATGCTGTGTCCTGCCTAGAAGGAGAGTTGGCAGTGGATGGTTGTCAAGGGCGGTTGGTGTCAACGACCGTCTTCACAAATATTGCAAGTCAATATCTGTCCCATTCATTGACAACTGGGACAACTTCTACGGCAGAAGGGACCCTTATGCTAGGGATGGGGTGCACCTGTCTCGGGATGGGGTGGCAACCCTGGCTGGGTCTCTGGAGGGGGCAGTTCAAAGGATATCGAAGTCTTTAAACTGCTAGGGGAACATATGGGCACGGGGGTGGGGGAAACTGGAGTGGGAGCGGGTAAACAAAGTAAAAGATTACAGGGAAATAGTGTTAGGAATGATGACAAAACTAAATTAAACAGGGAGTTTAAAACTAAAACTAAACGCGGTAAAGGCAGGACTCAGAACACGACTAACTTAAATGTCTACTACGTGAACAGTAAAAGTATGAGAAACAAAATGGATGATATTAGGGCCTTCGTATGTACCGAAAAAATCGATAAAATAGCATTCACTGAAACATGGATCAACCTAGACTCACGTGAGTTGCCGGTCGAATACCAAATTGCGGGTTACAAATTTTTCCATAATGTTAGGCAGACCAGGAAAGGAGGCGGAGTATCAATCTATGTTAGGGATAATCTGAAGTGTGAAATAAATAAGGAAATAAAAACTGAGCGGAATACAGAAACAATCTGGATAGAATTAATCGACGGTAGGGAAAAATTAATCACAGGAGTAATATATAGACCTCCCAATCTTGATAGAGTCAATGAGCGACTTATCTGGGATGAAATGCGCAGGGCTTCCATACACAATAAAGTCTGTATAGTAGGCAACTTTAACCTCGGCCAAATAGATTGGACTCAGAATCAGAGGATTTTCTCGAGACGATCCAGGACTGTTTCCTAAGTCAACATAAAACCGAGCCCACACAGGGTAATAATATACTCGATTTAGTTCTGTCGAACAGAGAAAACCTCATTAGCAATGTCGAGGTAGAGAACGAACTTGCAAACAGCGATCACAAAGAAATTAGATTCCAGTTAGATTTTCAGGGCAGACGTAGGGAAAATTCCACTAAAGTACCAGATTTCAGAAGGGCAAACTTTGACAGTTTAAGGAGGCAGCTGAGAGAGGGGGTGTCGCGCTTGGCCGTGAACCTGACAGATGACTCCGACCTGATAACGAGATCTGAGATTGCCGAGTTCCACGACAATTTAAATAATGAGTAACTTAATGCACAAAGGCAGAACATACCATACAAAAAACTCAGATCAGACAACAATGACCCTAAATGGATAAATAATTATTTAAAGAACATCATTGGCCAAAGGAAGGCTATAGGTAGAAGGATAAAGCGTGGCGAAATTTACCTCCACGATTATTACAAGATATTGGCGAGTAGGGTTAAAACCGAGATAAGGAAAGCCAAGAGGAATAATGAGGTAAGGATAGCAAGGGAGGCGAAGACAAACCCCAAAGGATTCTACCAAATGTATCAAACTAAAACACGAGAAAAGATTGGACCAATACTGTCAGATACCGGCGAGCTAACTGATAACGACGGAGAAATAAGCAATAATTTGAATAAATATTTTTCAACAGTTTTCACCACCGAAAATTTAAACATGATACCCGAGGCACCGACTCTATGCAGAGATAGTGAAGAAAACAAATTAAGCGAGATAGTAGTGACTAGTAACGATGTTAGTAAGCAAATAGACAAACTAAAGCCCAATAAGTCACCTGGTCCCGATGAGATATTTGCCAGAGTATTAAAGGAAGAGCTTAGTATGCCCTTAGCAAAGTTGTTTAACATGTCCTTAAAAACAGGTGTAGTACCAGAATCCTGGAGGATAGCGAATGTAATACCGATTTTCAAGAAGGGGGATAGATCACTATCCTCTAACTACCGCCCAATCAGTCTAACATCAATAGTAGGCAAATTACTGGAAGCAATCATTTCAAACTCTATTTGAAATCACCTGGAGAAGCACCGATTGATCAATGATTCCCAGCATGGCTTCACAAGCGGACGTTCTTGTCTAACTAATCTATTAACATTCTTTTCATCAGTTTTTGAATCGGTGGACGAGGGGCACAATTATGATGTGGTATATCTCGACTTTAGCAAAGCCTTCGACAGAGTCCCCCACAAAAGATTAATTAGAAAGGTAGAAGCACATGGCATCAAAGGTAACATCCTTAAATGGATTAGGGCGTGGTTACAGGACAGGAAACAACGCGTGAGCATTAACGGCACTAAGTCCCATTGGAGCAACGTCACAAGTGGAGTTCCCCAAGGCTCAGTACTTGGACCATTATTATTTATTATATACATACACGACATAGATATCGGCATAGACAGCAACATAAGTAAATTTGCTGATGACACTAAAATAGGACGTGTTATTAAATCTGACAAGGACTCCGCAAAACTACAGGAAGATCTAAACAAATTTTTCGAATGGTCGGAAAAATGGCAGATGAAATTCAACGTGGACAAATGTAAAGTACTCAGTATAGGATATGTAAACAGGGAAACCAGATAGCAGAAGAACAACGATGCCATAAAGAAATCCGACTGCGAGAGAGATTTAGGAGTAATGATGAGTAGGAACCTTAAGCCAAGTAAACAATGTGTTTTTGCTCATAACAAGGCTAATAAAGTACTTGGGTTCATACAAAGGAGTGTTAGTTACAAGACTAGCGAGGTCATCCTAAAACTGTATCTTGCGCTTGTGCGACCATACCTGGATATGCAGTTCAGTTCTGGTCACCGTATTACAGAATGGATATAGAATCATTGGAAAGAATTCAGAGGAGAATGACAAGACTATTCCCGGGCATTAGGAACCTTGAGTATAGAGACAGGTTAAAGCATCTTAATTTGCACTCCCTCGAGAGACGTAGAGCGAGGGGCGATCTGATAGAGGTGTATAAGTGGAAGTCAGGGCTAAACAAAGGGGACATTACAAAGGTACTCAAACTATCCAACCAGGAGCGAACTCGTAACAATGGTTTTAAATTAGACAAATTTAGATTTCGGCGTGAAATAGGTAAACACTGGTTTGGAAACAGAGTAGTAGATGAATGGAACAAGTTACCAAATATCATCATTAACTCGAATACGCTGAATAGCTTCAAACATAGGTTGGATGCATATATGAGCAATAGGGGTTGGGTGTAAACGGGACTGCCCAGTATGGGCCAATAGGCCTGCTGCAGTTTCCTCCATTCTTATGTTCTTAAGGTGCATTGTTAATGGCCGGAGTGGTGACAAATGTACTCTTATATATTCCCTGTCGATGCCATGTTCAGCTTTTCTGTATCTAATAATTTATCAGTTTCAGTCATTGTTCATGAGTTTCCAGGGTTCCTTGACTTTGTAACAGCTTAGACATGAAGCATTAAATGTGTTTCATCCCAAGTAACGTAGATGATTGTGGCTCGGCGGTGCAGGATCTAGTCTCTCGTCAGTATCTCAGGTTCGACACCAATATTTATCGCAGAATTAAAATACAGATCAGTACCTAGACCAATATTCTTCAGGTACCAGAGAAGTAGCTGGGCTACTACCCTGACGAGGAAGACCCTGCTCGTCAAACCCTGCTGGCGATGGTGACGGCGATGGACGACCAGGTGGGACGTGTGGTGAAGGCTCTCAGGGACTCTGGCCATTATGACAACACCATCATCATCTTCTCCAGTGATAACGGCGGCGTCGCAAATGCTGGATGTAAGAAGAGAGAGAGAGAGAGAGAGAGAGAGAGAGAGAGAGAGAGAGAGAGAGAGAGAGAGAGAGATGTTGACATTATTATTTTTTTTTTGGTGTTTAAGCTTTATTTTTCACTTTTCGTAACACTGAATATAGTAATGGAGCAACACAGATGAACAACGATGCCATAGAGAAATCCGACTGCGAGAGAGATTTAGGAGTAATGATGAGTAGGAACCTTAAGCCAAGTAAACAATGTGTTTTTGTTCGTAACAAGGCTAATAAAGTACTTGGGTTCATACAAAGGAGTGTTAGTTACAAGACTAGCGAGGTCATCCTAAAACTGTATCTTGCTCTTGTGAGACCACACCTGGATTACGCAGTTCAGTTCTGGTCACTGTATTACAGAATGGATATAGAATCCTTGGAAAGAATTCAGAGGAGAATGACAAGACTAATCCCGGGCATTAGGAACCTTGAGTATAGAGACAGGTTAAAGCATCTTAATTTGCACTCCCTCGAGAGACGTAGAGCGAGGGGCGACCTGATAGAGTTGTATGAGTGGAAGGCAGGGCTAAACAAAGTGGACATTACAAATGTACTCAAACTATCCAACCAGGAGCGAACTCGTAACAATGGTATTAAATTACACATATTTAGATTTCTGCGTGAAATAGGTAAACACTGGCTTGGAAACAGAGTAGTGGATGAATGGAACAAGTTACCAAATATCATCATTAACTCGAATACGCTGAATAGCTTCAAACATAGGTTGGATGCTTATATGAGCAATAGGGGTTGGGTGTAAACGGGACTGCCCAGTATGGGCCAATAGGCCCACTGCAGTTTCCTCCATTCTTATGTTCTTATGTGCCATACTATCTGTTCTTTTCTTCATTCACTATTTTAAGTACAGTATATATGGGTTTTCTTATAGTTATTGTATTTAGTTACTGAAATAAAGTCGACTGAAACTAAGTATATATGATTACAAATAAATCAAGCAAAGAAAATCATATATATGGCCGCTTACACAACAAAGACATAGATTTTATGGTAACGAAATATGCGTTATCAAAACAATGTCATCGGCGACAAACGTTGGTATCGGCATAGTTTAGAACGATGTACAATTAATTAGTAATGTGCAATTCGTCTCATGGCTTAGTTTTCTACCCCCTTTTCCTCTCTCATTTGCACTCCTCGTCTTCAGGTTATCGCTCAGGTTGTATATAGATATATGAATCGGCTGCTTGTGCAATTAACCAGGCCGTTCATATATATTTATTATTTGGGTTTAAGTAACGAAACCCAAACGGTAGTTCTTTGTTTTATTATAAAAAGGGTTGTATATATAATTCCTGAGTGTAGATCGACCGTAAGTCTCACTGTATAGGAGTGAATGAGAAAGGGACGGCGTTTATGTCTTATAAACGTTTGGTCACGTCCTTACGATATAAGTTGTTGTGAGCGACTCATGAGTAGTGACCCATCGAGGGAGAACGGTATGGGTACGTCGTTCCCCCTCGAGGGAAGACGGAGCCATCCACTGCGGCTCTCAAATAACGTCTTCCTCTAGTCAAGGATATCAAACTACTGCTCGCTTCAGGTGGCCAGAGAGCCGGCTACTTATGCCTTTACTCAGCATAGTATGACGCAGCTTCCCGTGGGCACACCTTATCACGTGCATTGAACATGTCACCTCATAGCCAGTGGAAAGTTACAGGGTGGTAAATCTGAATATAATATCAGATGTATTGACCCATTTATATAATATGTTCTGTTGATGAGACAGGGGCCCATTACATCGCTCGGTCACCTACCAGCCGAGGTCCGTGAGGCCTAAATAACTCAGAGTACAGTACATCCTAGACAACCCTAGCCATGTTATAAACAGATATGTAGACACTAAGCTGGGGATTCTATTACTGTAGGGGTATTAGCTACTACAGGGGACCTATACATTAGTGTCGTACGGGTTAGTATGTTATGAACAATGTTGAATTTGGATGACACTGCCCTGTAATAACAGAACAGGAACATAATTGCCAGAATTAACAAAATAGAGGGAATTGTAAGACTTGGTAGTGCAAATTCCCGTGACAGGTAAAATGGCAAGTTATTTTTCAAATCAGCAAATGTGTCATTGACATCATTAAAATTTGTAATTTGAAACTTTAGTATATATTAACATAAGTAAGCACTTACAACAATGACATTAACCTATTGATGTCCTATCAATGTGATGGCATGCCTTGAACGTGTAAATGTGTGTATATACTTTATGTATGCCTAGATACTACCTATATCTTGTAGGCTTGATTGAAGAATCCTTTCTAGAATTTCTTGATAATGTGAAATTGCTGCCGCAATCCCGTAGACTTGTGTGTGTGTGTGTGTGTCTCACAGTAGACACAGCTGATTCCAAGGTCCGGTGACTGGGTCAATGTTCACAAAAATCCTAAGTACAACAAACCGCCGCTAATGGTCCCACTAGGTCATCCACAATACCATACCTCAGAATGCAGAGACCATCTCTCAGACCGGATGTGTCATCATCACTAGGGTGGGTGCTGGGTGCTGGTAACTGGGGGTTGTTCACGCCATACGAAAGAATTTTGTTGACAGGATGTTTATTGATGAGTAGTCACAACAACTGCAGTCACGTCCTGTCACACCCTGGGCAGTGAACGAATCATTTGCAGAAACTAATGTTCACTTCAGCTCACAGGATTGTTGCATTGGTGAATTCCTCATTCTGGTAATGGAGAGTACTCTTCAAAATTGCAGGTACTGTTGAATATAATATCAGATGTATTGACCCATTTATATAATATGTTCTGTTGATGAGACAGGGGCCCATTACAGATATACAGATGTACCGCGAGAAAAAAACCGGTCAAACACTTACTGTCCATGTTTTGTTTAATCTGCTTCTCTCCACTTCCAGTTTCATGTCGTCTTATGGTAATATTACTTCGTTTCTTTTACTGGGATTAGCCCCCCCCCCCCGCCTCCCCCCTTCGCCCCCCGCCCCCCGCCCCTGCGCACAGGTCACGGACCCACATTGGGGCCTGGTGGTATTTACAGTAAAATTGGCATCCACGTGTTGCTTTACACTTTTGTTGCACGAATTTCGTAGATTTTTAGAGCTTTAGGATCCCAGAAACGAAACTTGTAATAACATGTTGTTCAATAAATGTCACGGATAATTGTCACATCTATTCTTTGACAGCCAGCAACTACCCACTCTACGGGGGCAAATCTACCATGTGGGAGGGAGGTTGCCGTGGCGCTGCCTTCATCCATAGTCCCCTGCTCGAGAACATCCCGCGGGTGCACGAGGGCCTCTTGCATGTCACTGACTGGTACAACACCCTCCTGGAAATCGGTGGGGCCATAGACGCACCCTCCAATGACGGCTACTTCCAGTGGGACGCCCTCAGGACTGGCACTGTGCCCTCACCAAGAAACTCGTTTATCTACAATCTCAACATCATGAACGACGGCAGTGCGGCTGGGGCCATCAGGTTGGTGGCTGCAACACTTTGGCATGGTGTGCTTAGAAAGCATGTTCTTTAACTGGTCAGTAATGGTTGGTGTATAAATAAGTTCTCGATTTTTCTTCATGTACTGTACATATGTCAACCGGGATCACGTGAAGATTAGGCACCCCAGCTTGTTTTACCAGATGATTAAGCAGTCTAACCTAACCTCATTTAAGCTTATTCCCCTAGGTAGTGTGAGTGTACTATATAGTCATCAGGTGAAATAAGCTGGAGAGCCTAATCTTCACGTGATCCATAAATAATAATACTTCTCCTGCAGCTTATATTAATATATCAGGACACTCATATTATTCAGCAGGGTAGAAATTTCGTTAATAAGGAACATAAGTAAATTGTAACCGTTACTTTAAACCCAAACATGAGCCAAAATACGGAGTAACAGTTACACAAATATACCGGAGGATAGTACAGGATGTCCTACGAACCCTCCTAAATCCTGTACTCTCCTGCACAGGGAAATAAAAGGCGTCACAGTTCCATAAGATACAATAAGGAATACTGATCGTCTACTCGTATCAGCCGTTAGTGCAGTAGTTCAGGTTTATTTTGTTCGAGTTATTGTGGAATGTATCGGACGCTAACCCACACTACAACGGGGAAAGAAGCCATAATGTCAGGAGAGAAGACGCTGATCAAGTTCACTCAAAATATTGTTGTGATGATTTTATATATCAGAATTTATTGAATTTAGTTTATACTCTAAATCACTGTACTTACAAATTTGAAGGTGCAAGTATACAGGTAAAATTTAACTCCCAAAACAAGGAAGAAGGTATTGATTATCACCTTCATCTGAGACTGTTGGGATATCATGATCACAACAACCAAACGAGCAGACGGACGCAAAACGGAAAAAAATATGTTAGTTAGGGTAAATATTACATTATGTTTTTTTACACAACTTAAGATACAGTATATGTTTCCTTGTTATTTTTTGTGCATCTTATTTTGTCCTCCTCACAGGGTTGGTGATTACAAGTACTTGAAGGGACAACATAAAAGCAAAAACGAAACTGAAACCTCATACCTCTTCAACATTAAAGGTAAGATATAATTATTTACGTGTTCATAGTATTTGATCTTACTAGATGTTGATTCTGTATTAATGTGGCCTGAATATTACTGCAGGCCTTTGTTATGAGTAGAATTTTAATTGCTTGTACTAAAGTTGGTGTTTGTGAATTCGTGAGTTGATACAACACGTTATATTCTAGAGATGTATCAGCCGAGTTACAGGTAGACATTATGATTCAGCACGTGTGTCGGTCTCACTGTAATTTGAACATGTTATCTCGGCCCCACAGATGACCCCAGTGAAGCGAATAACCTGGTAGAGGAGGACCCAGTGCGAGCTTTCGAGCTGGAGGCACTCTTGCTGGCTGAGCTGACAGGTCTAGTGCCCGTCGACCAACCTGATACCGACCCCGACTCTGACCCTAGCAACTATGGTGGTGTTTGGACCCCAGGCTGGTGCGACCCTTATTAGACTATTGGACTTTGTTCGGGAAAATGTTAAAATCTATATGTAGATAAGATTTCTTAACCCTTTCAGGAATAATCAATTATATGATATTTCAAGTAGCAATCAATAATGACTTATTGAACCTGAGAGGCTGACAAGTAACAGACTACAAATGATAACTGGCTTAAGCCAATTAGCATTATACAGGTAGCACGCGACCTGGTTAAGTGGTAAGAGACATGCGATCTTGTCTTAAAACTTACAAGGAGGACGCCAGCACCATGCAGGCAGTGCAGGAGAGGTAACTCAAACAGCACACCTGACACGGTACTTCCAGCTGTATAACCTGTCACTCCGGTCGAAATGATTGGCGCCTCCACGAGAGCAACATTCACAGCCGAGAAAAAAAAAATAGCGGCAGCACAGCAAGAAACTTGGATTTGTGGTAACAGTAGTCTGTCTACTCTCGACCCAGACAAAAAATGGTTCACTGATGAAAATTGTTTTTCATCCTTGGAGGTCTCGCCACACACGATATCACCCACGACACACAGTTAGACAACAGTGCTTTTTTGGATGTGGTGTACAACGAAAGATACAGGCGAGCTGGTTCAAGACAGTTAACCCAAACACACCAGAAACGTTATGGAGGACTGTTAAAATGTACAGTCGCCCACAAAAGTTGTGTCGGCGCCCAACGCTGTCCGCGAACTCCGTCTTAAACACATTATATGCATTTTCAAACTATTTAAAACTATGACCATACTTAATTATTAATTTAAAAAATTCATCTTTGTTTCAGATTTGCACTTTATTGTGATTGTGCATAAATGAAGAAGAACAATACAACTTGGTTAGGGAAATATGTGAGAATAAAAGAAAACTAAATTTCTTGATGACTTACACATGGAGATCAGTGGCGGGGCCAACCATTATTGGCAATTACATCCCGTATACCTCCCAGGGACTGCTGCTACTTGTCGTCACACTGGCTCACCTTTCCTCAACACTTCCCATTCCTGATTTACATGCTGTAACAATTGTTGGGACGTCCTTTCTTGCGATGGCTCCCACGCGCTCACTATGTTTGCTCACATATTCTCGATAGAAGTCATGTCACAGGTATTACTTGATCAGGCAAGAAGTTCTATGTTCCTACGGTCCTAAAACCACCACATGACTGTCCTTGCTGTATGAATAGGGTCAATTATCATGCATACACACAACTCTCGGGAAAGGAGAAAGTGTAGGTCCGCAATGAGGGAAGCATAAACTCCTCCAGGATCACCAAATACTGTACTAGTCAGTCCTCAACTCGCTGACACCATGCAGGTTGAAGCCAGCCCTCACACTGCTGCTGACGTGGCTGCTCCGCCCAATTATATACCATCTCGTGCAACCTGAAATTGTGAATGTATTTTTTGCTGAAACTATAATTATAGAGATAATATAAATGAAAAACTTGTGTTGGTTTTCTTAATGATAATAATAATAATAATAATAATAATAATAATAATAATAATTAAGTGTTTATTGAAAGAGCTTGGCAGCCAGAAGGCTGAAAATTTACATATTTACATATTTGGGGAATGGGTTTCGAATTACAAATAATATACAAGTAACATAAGTGATACAAATAAGATATATAATAACTAGATGGGGAAAAGCTCAAACTACAGTGCATTTCAACATAGTGACAGTGCACGAAGTAGTATTTACTGGGAGTGAATACACTGGTTTATTACAAGTTATTGATAATTTTTACAATGGTTGGGACTGGGCTGTTCTTATAGCGATCAGTTCGTGCACGTATGGGCTGGATGCGGTTGTGGTGTCGAACAGCAATTCTCGGGCTAGGGATCTCAGGTGGTAGTAGGAGCCGGTGTCGAGGATGGTGTAGAAGCTTCTTACCAAATTTGCAGATGAGGTCGTGGTGATGGTCAGTGAGAGTCGAAAGGGTCAGTGTGTTGAGCGCTTCTTGATATGTGGAGTAGGAAGGGGAGAGAATAATCTTGCATGCCCTCTTTTGCACTTTTTCTAGGTGTTTACGTTGTGTGGCATTTAGGGAGGAAGACCAGGTAGGGGAGGCATAGGTGAGCTTGGGAAGTATGAATGTTGTGTAAACACTGAGGAGCTCGGGTGCAGGAACTCCGAGGGACTTGAGTCGGCGGAGGAGGTGGAGACCGAAACTGGAGGATTTGACAACTTCACTGACGTGTGGTTTCCAATTTAGTTTGTTGTCTATGGTGACGCCGAGGAGCTTTGTGGAATCTACAACCTGGAGTGTGTTCGGACCTAAAGTAATGGAAGGAGGTGGGACAATGTCGGAGGAGAGGTTGATGTGCATAACCATGGTCTTGGTATGGTTGATGGTGACATGGTTGTTGGTGGCCCAGTTTTGGAGACTGTTCAATAAATCCTGAAGGGCGGTATAGTTGGGAGCAGAATTGTTGACGTAGATCCCAATGGTGGAGTCGTCGACATATTTCCAGCGAGCAGGGGTTTCTCTTAGGCCATCATTGATGAGCATAAGGAAGCAGAGTGGTCCCATCTTGGTGCCTTGGGGGACGCCACAGGTGAGTGACTGAAAGGTGGAGACAGCGCCTCGGAAGCGTACAGCTTGGCGTCGGTCACTTAGGAAGTCTGTAAGCCATGGTATAAGACTTCTCCGAAGCCCGAGGTCAATAGCTTTGCTGATGATTATATTGTGGTCGACTAGGTCGAATGCTTTAGTGAAATCAATGAAGGCGACAGCTACAGACGTTTTTCGTTTCTCGAGATGGCGGTATATGTAATAGAGAAAGTTGACAAGACAGTGAGTGGTGGAGGAAGTTTTCATATTGCCAAATTGCTGAGGTTCTACGACTCCTGCAATATCAGCATAAGCCCAGTAGAACACAAAACTTTCACAGATTAGGCTGCGTATTGGGGTGATTGCAATAGGTCGTAGCTGATTTAAGGATTGTGGGCTGGTTGACTTGGGCACTGGTGATACATAAGAGGTCTTCCAGTCAGCTGGGCATCTGGCTTGACTGAGAGAAGCATTGATGATGGAGCATAGGGGCTTAGCAAGCTCCGGGGAGAACTCCTTGAAGAGTTTCATTGGTAAGTCAATGGGGGTGGTAGAGCGTTTTAATTTTAGTTTGTCCAGGCGTTTTGCTACTTCAAATTCTTCTACTAAGTCAGTGGGAAGGGGGGCTGGTAGGTAAGCAGGGAGAGTGGTTGTGTCAAGCCGGGGGAGCGTCTGGCATATAGTAGCGAAATGGTTATTTGATTGCTCAGCTGCGTCAACATTAGTGAGATGGCTAAGGAAGGGGAGGGGGGTGTGTCTTATTGTTTAGTCCACAGAGTTCTTTAAGCTTACCATACCATTGACTGATGTTGGTCTGCTTCAGGTGTTGTAATTTGGTTGGGTAGTGGGACTTCTTTGCAGTGCGATTTCGCGGATGACTCGGTTGTGAAGGGACCTGTAGCGGATGTGGTCATTGAGATGAAAGGCTCTGTCTCTCTGTTGCATAAGTCTTTTGATCCGAGGTGTGATCCAGGGCAAGTCAGCTGGGTGAGATCTGACGGACTTCTCGGGGAAGAAGTGGTGGTGAGCTTCCGTGGTGGTGTTGGTATAATTTATCCATTTGGTTTCCACGTCATCCACGCTAAGTACTTCAGTCCAGGGATGGTGAACTATCCACTGCCCGAAGAGGCGTACTGCAGAGTCAGTAATTGGCCTGTAGGTCTTGATGTAGGGTCTCTGTACTTAAGTGGGAGTGGCAGCTGGGGACCAGAGCACTGATAAGTGTGTGCTACACCCGATAGGAGGCATTGGTTAAGGTGGTTGGTACTGGTCCGCTAAGTCAAGGGTATTTTGACCGTGTGTGGGGAAGTTCTCAACTTGTGATAGTGATAGCTGGTCCTGGATATCAGTGGTGTCAATTTCATTATAATCCCCACATAATACTAACTTGGCACATGGGTACCTAACTCTGAGGTGGTCTGAGGTGGTAATGAGATGATTGATAAGAGTGTCTCTGGTGAGTGAGCGAGGCGGATGGTATGCCACACAGATTATGATGGAAGCAGTGTGGCGCGGGTGGGCCCGTGGCACAACACGTACCCATAATGCTTCCACATCTGCTGGGACTTGAACATCCAGGCGTGACGGGCGTAGGTCATCTTGACAGAAGAGGGCAACGCCCCCTCTGCGTCTATGTGAACGAAGGTGATGAAAGAGTTGATATCCCTCAATATGACACGTTTCAGGCACAATTTGCCAAGCCTCACATATGGCAACAACGCTCGCGGCGGCTGACCTGACTGTAGTTGCCAGCTCGTCGAACTTGTTAGCTAGGGAAGTGACGTTGGATAGCAGTAAAGACGGGAGATCATACCATATCCGTGGAACTTCAGTGTAGTGGTACGGTCTGTCAGGGGTGGGTTTCTCCGGTTTCCTAGTGGAGGTTACGGTCCTAATGGGCTTATCTCGTTAAAATATGTTAGCCATTTTATATTTAATTTCTCTATCACAAGATCAAATAATTTCACCTCTCCACCCCTGCATAGATATCGGTCAATCACGGCCTACCACAGATTTTTTCTTTTTTTTAGAGAAAGGAGGGGTGAAAGAAGGAAAGAGGTGGGGGAAGAAAGTTATAGTTCGGAAATTGAAGAAGTTTACGAGGAGGTAAGAGAGGGCGGGCTGACCGCCTAGCTAAGCTAATAGTGTGTTAGGGTTGTGTCATGGGTTATTTATTGTCTGTCGGTACAGGCACTAGACATCCTACCCTATCCCATACATGGGTGTTTTAAGGGCCTTATTTCATATTCCGCCGACCCTACTGGCGGATGTTGGTCTAGGGAGGTTGTCTATTGCCTGGCCGCGTAGATCGGGGATGGTAATGGACCTTTTGAGATTTGGTAACTTTTTGGGAACCATGTATTGTTGTTGTCGTTATCTGGCGGGAGTCTTTGAAGGAGTTCTTGCTCTGATCGTTCTATCTTTTGCCAGATTCTGCTGGCCAGGGTGTGCAGCTGCTGGTTGATGGGTTTCATTCTCAGGTCTCTATGTATCTCGGCTGTGGTTCTGGTGAAAGGGTATCTTTCGCCTGTGACGAATCTTAGGGCTTCATTTTGAACCACCTGTAATTTTAATATTGGAGTGGTGCTCATAGTATGAAGAGGTACTGCTGGGTAAGTTAATATCGGTGTGATAAATGATGTCACTAGGCGGAGTTTTATTTTCTCAGGAAGCGCTTTAAAGCGGTATAGTTTTCTCAGCTCTCTTCTTGCTTTTTCCTTCCTGGTGTGGACATGATGGGAGTGACCTGTCGTGGATATGTGCAGGCCTAGGAGGGTCCCTCTGCTTTTGTTTTCTATCTGGGCATTATTGGTTACTAATGGATGGGTTTTCCTTCTGCATAAGGGTATCACTGTGAATTTCGGGAGACTGGTTTGGATTTTCCATTGTTTTTCGTAATTATTTACCCTTTCTAATTCCCGCCTGGTGTTGTCGGCCTGTAGCGCTCGCGATTTTCCTTGATGTGTTGTTATTTGAGTGATGTCATCTGCATACATAATATCTTCGTTACCAATTCTAGTGGGAGGCGGAGTCTCTCTTGTGTAGATAATATATAGGGTGGGAGAGAGGACGCTCCCCTGAGGGACTCCGCTCATGAGTGGGAAGGTCTCTCCTGTGTGTTGTCCTACCCTCAGTCAGTCTGACATTTCTGCCGTCAAGAAAGTTGCAAAGCATTTTTTCAATGTTGGTGGGAAGTCCAAGTTGGAGGATCTTATATTTTAGACCGTCGTGCCCTCTTCCCCTACCTCCTCCCCCTCTTCCCTGTTACGGTCATCTCCCCTTTCCCTCAATATTTGTTTCAGTTACCCATTGTATTTAGTTTCTATTGTGTCCCGTTTTTCTTTAGAATCGAAAGTCCAAGCTTATGGTAAACACTTTTAAAAATTTCTTTATTATTTTTATATTAGTATGTATACTAGTATTTGTTTCATTATGTAAGCTCTGTAGAATGTATTTTTATTTTTTGTACAGTTATATAAGACTGTAAGAAGCAGGTGTGAAGTGTAAGAAGAATTAGAAATTATATGTTGATGAAACAAGAAAGTATTGGAACATTTTTGTTTTGGCGACGCTCTCTCAATATTCTGGTTGGGGGGTGCTGGTGGTAAAGTGGAACCGCTCTTGCCTTCGCAAGCGAGATATCACGGGTTCGATTCCCGGGCCGGTGGAAGTTGTTTGGACATACTTCCTAGCCCCCATTAGTCCCTGTTCACCTAGCAGTAAAGTAGGTACCTGGTGTAAATCGAAAGTTGCGAATTCGTATTCAGGGACAAGTTGTTGGAGCTTCCAATAACTTGATTGACTCTTCAGGCTTCTATGCCCTTGACTCTTCAGGCTTCTACGCACTTAACTCATGAGACATAAAGGCAAGCATGAACTTAGCATGCTTCCCT